CGTCGTTCACTGTAATGTCGTTTTTTGTATTCGCGGTAATGTCGTTCGCGGTAACGTCGTTCGCGGTAATGTCGTTCGCGGTAACGTCGTTCGCGGTAATGTCGTTCGCGGTAATGTCGTGTCACGGATAGTACGTTAGTTTCTAATTTACATGTACATCACGCGTGGGAATATTTCAGGTTCAATTTGGAGTTCATATCGCAGGAATTAAAAGAACAGAGGATTTAAAAACCACCAAAATTGCAAGATCAATAAATGTAGCTTTATTTCGGGATATAATCAATCATATTGTCGGAACTGGCCGACAGAATGAATATATTACGCCAAAAGAAGCCAATATTACAAGATCCACCGTATCACCCGTATATCGGTGGACTGTTGGTCTTACATCACCTCGTCCTGTTAAAAAACCAACAAAATCATCAACTACCACAAAACCAACTGCTATTGATCGAATATCGTCTGTTTCTCCTAGATATCGCTTTAAAGAACCATCGTTTCCCAAGTTGACATCAACGGACTCTGGTGATATATTGAAGAAGAAACGTTTTACCGTAAAAATATTCTTCAATAGACATTTATATAGAGGTAGGAAACCGCAACAACAAACAAAATATCCATAACGAGTCGTAAACGGAAATTGACATGATGTAAGCAATAAAAATAGAAATTATCTCCACATGTGGTCAATTAGAAAGCTTTGAGTAGCATTGAGAAAACTATAAATAATAATACATTCAATACACAGTGTATTGCTACAACATCGTCTTCAAACAAAACGACTTTTTTTCGCAGTATTAAAGACTTTAGTGCTGTTATTTCGGTCATCATTCTGTGTTAACCCGATTTTTTAGAAATCCACACTATTAGGTGTCGTAGGAACAAAGTAAAAGACTAATAGTCCTTCTCGAACTATATAAAACACACAAGGCTTCCGCACACGAAACTGACATGATTTAGAACACCGCAAGAAAGTCTGCTACTACTACTTGAGTATAGTTTACTTGAGCAATTTCACTCAAAAACTATTTTTAGAAGTAACTTTATGTTTAGAATTTTTTTGGTAAAACCCTAAATCATTTGTGTCATTTTTTCGAAAAAGTGTGCTTTTCTCATCTCATTCTAAATGAACACTGTGTGTAGTAACAGTAAATAATTCTGTAATCCGGTCAAAACAAAGAATTAAGAGCTGAAAATTTTTTTTGTACTTTTGCTAGTCTTTTGATAGTGTACTAATATTACAGAAAAACTGAGCTTTATATCTTATATCGAGACAGAGGGAAACGAGAGAACCAACTAGAGAACCCTTGAGAGAAGAAGACTGGAAAGTTGACCTTTTTTCAGAAAGATAATGTTCTTCTACGGGATATTATCGACATTATCATATCAACTGGTTCATTCACCTATCAAACTTTCTGCTTTAGTTTTCATCGCATCAAGCACTACACTATATGTTTACTATGAAGGATATCATGTGACGACTAATTATCGCAAAGGAAAAATCATAGAGTTGTCCTGGTCTTTTTTAGAATGTCCTCTCGTTTTAGAAAAATACTGCTCTCATTCAAGAAAACAAGTTCAATCAAAAAAGAAAGAGGAAGAATGACTTGCTTTTTGATTTGAAGGGGCACAAACATCTTCACTTTTCCACTTATGAGCCAATGAATATTTTGAATTTTGTCTCGAGCATTTTCGCACATTCTGCTACCACCGCAACGAAGGACTTGAGACTTCAGTTGTATTAATATTCTATTGAAAGAAAAACCGATGTAAAATTTCAAGTGTTTGTGTACAATACCCGTCATGTTTTATATTTATCTTTCTTCTCGTAATAGCAAATGTTGCCATGAGAAACAATAAAAAGCCACTAAAAGGAATAATGATCCGTTTAGGAAAAAGATTTCAGTTCTAGGCTGAAAAGTATGATGAATTCTTTTTCTTCTAAAAAGAGACAAGAGGTAATACAGTCTGAAATCGACTGAACATAGAGTTACATTTATTTTGTTTCAGACTTTTAAATTATCTTCTTAAATGTAGAAAGAGTTGCAGAAAAGTATTTGAGTGCCAAAAAAATGGGCAGTGTCTCCATCAGTTTTTCCAGCTTTCTAGACTATTATTTATCATAGGGATTCTCTACTTGTGAACTACGAAGCAGGATTCAACATACATTCTCAATTCAAGTGACTGTTTAGCTATGAAATCCCAGGCAACAGCATCCCTCTCGCGTAGTAGCACCGTCGATCTTTTTAAGAAAACTATTATTTTAACCTTCAGAGGATTTTTCGAAAGCGATATTCGGAGAAATTTCCTAAGCCGGTTTTTCAGAGGACCTTTGGAAGACCAGCTTGAATTTTCCGAAATTCTCATATGAATGTAGTGATTTTCTTTCATGGATATATAGTCCAATGTCTGCTCTAATAAATGGGAGTCAAACGAGCTCTTGAAAATCCGCGGTTCGGGTGCTGTATCGGATTTCCTTCGATTCCGACGACTGGCATCTGGTGACTATTGGTAGCCTTGAAAACAGATGGACTATAAGTAATCGATCATGCCGAGCCTCGTGGCAATATTTGCTCTTTGAATAAGTTCTAAACATCTATCGAAAAATAGTTTTATGAAAACTTGCGTTTTCAGTCTGGTTTCATCTAATATGAAAAAATTCACTAATCAGTCAATAAACATCAGAACGAGTTCAAAATTTCACGATATGGTTGATGTCCTTCGCTAAACGTGATTATACGATCGAAAAATCAGAAAAAGCATATTTTCGGTATTGGTTTTTTAGAAACCCTTTTGAAAAGGATTTTTTAAAGTTTCTTCTGCGATCTCTTATAAACAGGATATAGAATAGCTGAAGTACTCTACATTCTGAAATTTTGAACTCGTTG